GATAATAGCCACATTTACACTGAGCTGCTGAATGCCAGGAGGAGCTCTGGCTGAGTGCTCCGGTGCCACTCAGCCCTGGGAGCTGCCCCAATGACTCTGACTGTCCTCTTTTCACAGATAAGGGAGCTGGGCGGCATGGGGCTCATGCTCAAGGTCATATGGCAGTGGAGAGACTTGGGTCCAAGCCCTCAGCCAGTGTGTCCTGCTGCTTCCCCTGCGGGTCTCACCTGTGCGTCTGGGGCTCACATGTACACTGTCAGGCCAGTCTCTACCCAAGGGTCAGATTTCACTTGCTCCATTGTCGCAGGGTGAGTGAGGCCCTGTTCTCAAAGCTGTCAAACCTGGTGGGGCAGCTGCGACTCACAGAGACACTGAGATGTTGAAATGCTCATTAATTCCCTTCTGTCTCGTTTCTGGTGTGCTTAGTCCCTGGCTCAGGCCTGGCAGCAGAAAGTTTATAGATGAAGACTCTGGTAACGCTCATGCTGACTGCCGGGGGGTGAGAGGAAGAGAGTACTGCTGGGTGGCCCGTCCGGGCGGGGGCAGAGCAGCGGGGGGGCGGGGGGGTGTCAGACCCAGCCGACATGCTAGAGAACTGTTCAGAGGCATTTTCCCAAATCCCACCCTTGGGGTTATGCTGCAGGATTGGACCTTTCTTCAGGAGGCCCGATTCCAAATCAAATCATTATATATCAAATATCACTGCCACCTGCCCGCTCTTTAAATATCCACATCGCCTCTGTGGTTGCGGTGGAAAAGGAAGGCGTGGGGACGGGAAAGGGCACGTCAATCTCAGTTGTTGCCTTTGGTGCCAGGTACAACAGAAACCAAGGGCATCTGAGCCCAGACGACCTTGGTAACTTGATCTCTCTCATTCCATGTATTCCAGCCAAAGAAATAAACACCAGAGTGTAATGTCTAAGAGACACTGAACACTTTTGATTTATGGAATGCTTCCACAGGACCTGAGCCTCACTGCAGACTTCACAGGTGGGGTGAGCCGTTTGTCTGAGGTTCTCCAGTTAGTACTTGGCACAGCCAAGATGGGGACCTGGACCTTGGGGAGGCCCCAGAGTGTAGCAAGCACTTCAGCGTTCTGTGGACCTGGGTTCTTGCCGCGACTCTGCCACTAACCAGTTTTGTGGTCTTCTCTAGGACTCACTTTCTTTAGCTTTTAAATGGGTATAATCAGGATCTGGTCTCATCAGGATCTTATGAGGGAAGAGGGTGTGATGCATAATAAGAAGAGCTTGGCAGAGTACCTGGCACAGAGGATAGCTAGCTGTTAGCACTAGTCCAGTTAGAAACGAATCTGGCTACAGTTATCGCAGCAATAAAGCAATGGTTGACTTAAACAAATGGTAGTTATCTTTCATACACAATAAAAAGTCAGAAGGCAGGCAGCCCCAGGCTGGCCAGGAGCAGAACGATGCCATTAAAGGCTGTTTGGCTTCCTTCAGTCCATGCTGCTCTCCACAGAGTGCTGGTTTGCTGCCTCATGGTTGCCGTCCCAGCCCCATCCGCCATGCCTGTGGGGAAGAGGTGTGGTAGCAGTTACAGTTTCCCCCTTCGTAAGGAAAGCAAAAGCTTTCCCAGAACCCCAGCCCACACGCAGTCCCAGCAGGCATCTGCTTTTGTCTCCTTGGCCTGGACTAAGTGCCCTGGCTGTCCACAGCTGCAGGGCCACTTAGAAAATGAGCTAATGTAAATGACTAGTTAATGGGTGCAGCACACCAACAGGGCACACGTATGCCAAAGCTGCACGTTGTGCACATGTACCCTAGAACTTAAAGTATAATAATTTAAAAAAGAATTAAAAAAATAGAAAATGAGCATTAGCTTTTCAGATTCAGTCATACAAGTGGCAAGGAAGAAGGCAAATGAGAATGGGAGACCGATCACTTGGATTTGCCGCAGTCCTTCCTGCCTCACACTGTCACTTAAGAAATTTTTTTTCATTGGTCCTTAGGTGCATTGGGCCTAGTTCATCCTAGGCATGTGCTCGCGGCACATGAGCAGCTAGACTGTCTGCCTTTCCTGCTCACAAGTGTGTGCTGTACGTGCATCTCTTCAGTTTTTAAATGAAGCGTAACATAATGCATTAAAGTGCACAAGTCTTTGCTAGATGCCTCAAAGGATTTTTATGATTTATCCCCATGAAAGTACATTCAGATCAATCTATAGAATGTTCCCAGCATCTCAGAAACCTTCCCATTTCTCTGCTCTCTGTCAGTACTCTCTCCCAAGGTGACCGTTATTCTGATCTCTGTCCCCAAAGGTCAGTTTTGACTGTTCTTGGATTCCATTGACATGGACTTGTATGTTTGTATGTACGCTTCGTGGGCCTGCCTCCTTTGACTGACCTGAGAGAGCCGTCTGTGTCCCTGCGTGTGGCTGTGGCTCATCTGCTCTCTCCTGAACTCTGTCCCTCTACCCAGACCTGGTATTCATGGCGTTGTGAGAGCCAGAGTAGCACAGAGGTGGAGGTTTCCTGTTTCCGTTCACGGAGTGTCTTTTCCTCCTGGAAACCAGCCCCTCTGATTGCTTGCAGAGCTTGCCTGTGCACTGCCCTCTCCACACCAAGCTGCTACCAGAGGAATCTCTTGGGGACTTGTATGTTGGCTTTCAATGCTGTCAGCAGGAAGAATTTTCTTGAGCACGTCTTCATTTGGAGAGGATGGAGGAAGAGAGAGAGGGATGCTTTCGGGAAGGACATTTTTAGGCAAAGGAAAAAACAGCAACTGAAGGCGTCATTGGGAACTGGAGCCTGGAAGCCAGCCTTCTAGCAGAGATTTACATCATTCTTCTGCGTTCCTGCCCTTCGAGCAGCGTCAATTGAGGGCTCAAGGGCAAAAGAGACTCGCGGCAGCTCTGCTGTGCTGGGGCCGGGCAGCCTCCTCTGAGTCCACCCTGACGCCTGGGGAGTCTTCCTCCCCCAGACGGGGTGATGGGCTTTCCTTATCAAGGCTAGTGTGGCTTTCTTACAGAAACACGGCATGGCAGGACAAACCTGAGAGCAGTGAAAAAAGCTGATTCTTTTCAGGGGAGTCTTAAATGAAGATGAAATGGATTAGTTATTCTTACAAGTGTGGGCATGTAGGTAAGTCAGGGATCAAGTAGAAAAATGGAAAGTATGCAGTTAGCTCTGATGGTTTCCATCATCATCTTTCCTTTAGGTATCTGCTGACTGCCTTGTGTCTGCCGGGATAATGTCCCAGAATATTCAGCTAAGACCTAATCAGGGATCCTGTGTGCTCAAATGGAATAGTTTGTTAAGTTTAGTAGGTAATTTCTGTGTCCCCGGCCCTTGTTAGGGGCTTTGCGATGTATTATTTCAATTATTCTCCGCAGGATCTGGGAAGGTGGGTAGGATTATTCCCATTTCGCACGTGAGTAAATGAAGGTTAGTAAGTAACGGGTAGGAAGAAGGAAGGCTGCTAGTTTAAACTAGGTCTCATATTCCAAAGGCTGCGTACCTTCCGCACCACCACGCCACCTTTTAAAATAACCCCTTGCTTTTCCGATGCACCAACCCTCTTGTGGTTCCTTGCCTTCATTCGCCTCCACACAGTGCTCCTCAGTGTGGATCCAGTGAGTGGCCGGTTGTAGAACATCCGAAAGCTGTACATACCTCCTCACTTATTCTGATTTTAGTTAGCTGTTGAAGCTGTACTGTAACACTGCACACATCTTTGCTAGATGGCTCAAAGGATCTGTGACATTTTATTTAACATATTTAAAATGTTAAAGCCATAGAGCCTAGTGGAAAAGATCTTCACGGATAATAAGGAGTCACTGGTTTCAGTCCTAATGTCACTACAAATCAAAACAAGGCATAAGGCTGGGCGTGGTGGCTCACGCCTGTAATCCCAGCACTTTGGGAGGCTGAGGTGGACGCGTGGCTTGAGCTCAGGAGTTCGAGACCAGCCTGGCCAACATGGCGAAACCCCATCTCTGCAAAAAATATAAAAATTAGCTGGGTACGGTGGCGGGCTCCTGTAATCCCAGATACTTGGGAGGTTGAAGCAGGAGGATCATTTGAGCTCAAGAGGCAGAGGTTGCAGTGAGCCAAGATCGCACCATTGCACTCCAGCCTGGTTGATGGGAGTGAAACCCTGACTCGAAATAAAAAAAAAAGGCGTAAGACTTTGAGTGGACGGTGACTGTCCAGTCCAGTCTTCTGGCTTCCCTGGGCCACACTGGAAGAGGAAGAATTGTCTTGGGCCACACATAAAATACACCAACACTAATGACAGCTGATAAGCTAAGAAAAAAAATCGCAAAAAAATCTCGTAATGTTTTAAGAAGTTTATGAATTTGTGTTGGGCTGCGTTCAAAATCGTCTTGGGCGACATGTGGCCCACGCGTGGGCTATGGGTTGGACAAACTTAGTGTAGACCTAACGTCTGTGTGCCTCAGTTTACCTCATGTGTGAAATGAGGAATTTGAAGTATGTGATTATTGATGTCCCCACCTGTTCTAAAAACATGAGCTTCTGTGACCTGTTTGTTTTTGTAATTCTAATACGGGTGGAAAGTACAAATATTTATTAAAGGAGACTTAATTACCAAATGCAAATCCAGAGAAGTGGATAACATTGAGGCTTTCACAATTTTTTGAAGGAGATATAAGTTCTTTACTTTCCCAAGTAAAGCTTCATTTTCCATTGCATTTCCCTGTCTGTCATCAGAAAAGGGTGTCTGTTCTTGGATAATTCACAGTGGAGCTGAGATCCCTTGAGGGTCTGGCAGGCTTTAATTTTGGATACATTGTTGTAAAATATTTGTCAGTAGCCAACTTCAGGTTCCCAACCCAAATATCAATCCCTCCTTATTCAGTAGATGAGTATGTCATACAAACTGTTCTAAATTATACCTGGTACTATTGAATAGTATCAGGATGATATTGAGCAACTCTGAAAATAAGAAATAAGATGCTCTTATGGCCTGATTACTTAAGAATGTGCTATACTTAAATAAACTGTTACTGAATCATTTTAGACCCAATAAAGACAAAACTGGCCACACAAGTGACTCAGGAGCATCTGTTATCAAGCATGGACTCAATCCGGAGAAGATCTTCATGCAGGTGCATTATTTAAAGGTAAGCACCTCTCAGTTGCAGAGGCCAGTTGTGGTGCAGCGCTGTTTAGCTATCCAGTTAAACAATAATGATGAGTGACGTGACCGAGGCGAAAATACTGTAATGATATCTGAGGGTTCGGTAATTAAAGCACTTCATGCCCCCAGAAGGAGACCGTGTTAGGAAAGACTGAATGAAAAAAGGCTGAAATATTCCCTGCCCTGTACCTCTGTTCTCCCTGCCTGAGGAGCAGAACTCTCACATTGCTCTCAGGTTCCAGCTGAAAGCCATGGGTGAGAAGAAAGTGTTTTTTGTTGTAAAGGCCTTTCCTGGTAGCTGGAGTAGAGAAGAGCCGGGTCTCTCTTTTCGTCTGCGTTGGACAACGAGGCTTCATGTGAACCAAGTCCAAGCGGAAATGATGACAACATTAACAAAGGAGTTGAGAGCTAATTAATTTCCAAGCCAAGCCTTCCTGGTGAAAATGGAAAGGGCAGCCAGGGACGGGTAGGACAGCACATTCTAGATGCACAAGTGACTGTGGGTTGGGTAGGGCTGACTATGTAACCATATTTTTTACGAACTCATGGCAGGCCTCTTTTTCTGTCTCTTCTTTCTTTCTTCCAGGGCTACTTCCTTCTTCGGTTTCTTGCCGAAAGACTTGGAGATGAAACCTATTTTTCATTTTTAAGAAAATTTGTGCACGCATTTCATGGACAGCTGATCCTTTCCCAGGTAATTTGTGGATCCTCATGAGTCCGTGATGCATGATTGGAGGGGTATGGCACGTGAAGATTAGATTATGCCAGTATTAAAGAGTAGGGAAAAGATTTCCCACTTAATGCAGTGGGAAAAATAGGAAGTTAATGAAATGGACACAAAGAAAGTGGTTGCTTTAGGGAGGGTGATCTCTCTGTAGTTTTGAAATAAACCGTAACCCAAAGCTGTCTCGTACACAGTGATGTGGATAGTTTAAGTGACCTTAAACACAAACGTAAAACAGTCCTGCCGCCCCCTTTACCTGGACCTACCTTTGGAAGATTGCCACCTTCTTACCTTCTAGTTTCAGTTTGAATGCCACAGCCTCCAAGTCAGCCGGCTAAACAGATCTGCATCCAGGCCCACGCGTGCCACCCCTTTGCCTTTCCATAGCCCTCATTGTCATCGCCATTGTCTAATGATATTTTCATTAGGGGGCTATTTGTTTCTTTTCTCTCTCCTCCACTCTACGTATATGCCCAACAAGGCCAGACCATTCTATTTCACCAGTACTTAGCACGTGATTGGCACACAGTAGGTACTCCATAAATATCTGATCAATAGATTAATAACAAGATACACTGAAATATGCAGACAGCCTGGCCACAAAACTATCAGAGAGAGACCCTGTCAGCTCATCTGGGTTTGGGGCCAAGCAGCACGTAGCAAGGAAGTTAACAAGGAGTGGCAGGCTCTGAAAAACGACGCTCATAACTAATAGAAAATAGGCGATGCATCCTCAGCATAGGTTGGACTAGTGGAGCTTTTTCATGTTTGATCATTGTGCTCATATACAGCTGCGAGTCCCGTTATCTGCAAGGTTAGATGTAAAGGATGTGCACGTGTAATCTGAACACCGGTGGAAGAATCACATGAGCGTAGCAAGACCAACGGCTGTTCCTCTGTGTTCTTTTTATTCTTGTATTGGGTGTGGGGAAAATCCTCCCAAGCATGTATTTGGAAAGGCAATTCGAAAACTGGTTCAAAGTCTTACGTGCTTGGTTGACAGATTAGTACAAATTCCTGCTGCTTGAAGCCACTTCTCACCAAGAGGCTGCAGTGTCAAATACGTGCGTTGTATTTACCTTGGCTTTGGAGGTTTTGATTTTCACTTCCCATGGAACTCTTACTGCTCTCTGAACCAAACCGTTCAGTTCTTCATTTGCTTCTCTCTTTTTTGTTGGTTGGTGTTGTTGAAGACAGATTCTCACTCTGTCGCCCAGGCTGGAGTGCAGCGGTGTGATCTCAGCTCACTGCAACCTCCACCTCCTGGATTCAAGCGATTCTCCCGCCTCAGCCTCCCGAGTAGCTGGGATTACAGGCATGTGCCACCACGCCCAGCTAATTTTTGTGTTTCTAGTAGAGATGGGGTTTCAGCATGTTGGACAGGCTGGTCTCGAACTCCTGAACTCAGGTGATCTGCCCACCTTGGCCTCACAAAGTCCTGGGATTACAGGTGTGAGCCACCAGACCCAGCCTGTTTATCTGTTTTGAACAACTTCATTGTTTCTTCATAGCAACTTTATTGAGATAAAATTCACATACCATAAAGTTAACCCTTTGAAAGTCTACAAGTCAGTGGTCTTTGGTATGTTCACAAGACTGTTCAACCATCATCATTATCTAATTTTAGTACATATTCACCAAACCCAGAAGAAATCATTAGCTGTCATTTCCCCATTTCTACTCCCCCAGCCCTACATAACCACTAATCTGCTTTCTCTCTCTATGGATTGGCCTGTTCTGGACATTTCACATAAAATAATCATATGCTTTGACCTTTTGTGCCTGGCCGCCTTAACATAATGTTTTCAAGGTTCATGTAGCATGTATCAGTACTTCCTTTTTTTATTTTAATTTTCATTTAATTGTGATAAAATATACAAAACAAAATTTACCATTTTAGCCATTTTTAAGTTCACAGTTCAGTGGCATTAAGTACATTCATATTTTTGTGCAATCATTACCACCGTCCATCTCCCGTACTATTAATATTTCATCATGATAGCCGTCCATTCTTTCCTCCCCCAGCCCCAGCAACCGCCATTCTACTTTCTGTCTGTCTGAGTTTGACTCCTCTAGGTACCTCATGTAAGTGGAACCACACAATATCTGTGCTTTTGTGTGTGGCTGACTTCACTTAGCACAGTCTTCAGGGGTCACCAGGTTGCACATGTACCAGAACTTCTTCCATTCTTAAAGCTGAATGCTCCATTGCATGCATATACCACATTTTGTTCACCCGTTAATTCCTTCATGAACATTTGCATTTTTTTCATCTTTTGGCCATTGTGCATAATGCTGCTATGACCATTAGTGTATAAAATATCTGTTCAAGTCCCTGCTTTCAGTTATTTTCAGTATATTCCCAGAAGTGGATTGCTGGCTTATACAATAATTCTATGTTTAGCTTTTTGAAGAATTGCCATACTGTTTCCATACTGACTGGGCCATTTTACATTCCCACCAGAAATGCACAAGGCTTCCAGTTTCTTCACACACTTGCCAACACCTAATGCCCTCTGGATTTTTTTATTATTGCCATCCGAGTGGGTGTGAAATTATAGCTCATGATGGTTTTGAGTTGCATTCTGTGATGGCTAATGATTTTGAGCATTTTTTATGTGCTTATGGGCCATTTCTTCTTTGGAGAAATGTTTGTTCAGATTATTTGCTGATTTTAAAATTTTGATTATTTGTCTCTTGTTCTTGAGTTTTCAGAGGACTTCATTTATTTTGGATGTAAGTCCCTTATCAGAGATACGATTTTCAAATATTTTGTTTTATTTTATGTTTTGTGTTTTTCCTCTCTTGATGGTGTCCTTTATAGCACAAAAGTTTTTAATTTTGATGAGTCCAATGTATCTGTTTTCTCTTTGGTTTATTGTGCTTTAAGTGTCATAACTAAGAAACTGGCTTAATTAAAGGTCACAAAGATTCACTCCTATGTTTTTTTTCTAAGAGTTTTATTGCATTAGCTCTTATATTTAGTTTTCTGATCTGTTTTGAATTATTTATTTATTTATTTATTTATTTTGAGACAGAGTCTCGCTCTGTCACCCAGGCTGGAGTGAGTGGCGTGATCTCGGCTCACTGCAGGCTCCGCCTCCTGGATTCACGCTGTTCTCCTGCCTCAGCCTCCCGAGTAGCTGGGACTACAGGCGCCGCCACCACGCCCGGCTAGTTTTTTATATTTTTAGTAGAGACAGGGTTTCACCGTGTTAGCCAAGATGGTCTCGATCTCCCGACCTCGTGATCCGCCCGCCTCGGCCTCCCAAAATGCTGGGATTACAGGCTTGATGAATTAATTTTTATATATGTTGTGAGGATTACAGTCCAACTCCTTTTTTTTGCATGCGAATATCCAGTTGTCCCATAAACCATTTGTTAAAAAGACTGTTCTTTCCCTCCATTGAATTGCCTTGTACCCTTGCCAAAAATTAGTTGACCATTAATGTAAGCATTTACTTCTAGACTCCCAATTTGATTCCATTAATCATTATTTCTGTTCTTGTGCTAGTATCATATTGTCTTGATTACTGTAGCTTTGTATTAAGTTTGGAAATTATTGCTTTTCCAACTGGCATATACTCATTATAAAAAATTATAAGCAATGCAGAAAAATACAAAGAATGTGAAACATTACTCAAAATCCCACCAGCCAGAAATACCTATAATTAATATTGTGTGAATGACATTCCAGAAATCATACTATTTATCCCTCAATGTTTATATGTTATACATGATGTATATACATGTATGTGTGTATATATGTATATATGGTATATGCATGTATACAGACATTGATGTCACTGGACAGAAATAATTTTATAAAAATAGGAATACATTATATGTGCGTTTTAATGAAATGTTTTAAATTTTCTCTTACTTGAATTTAATGAATGAAAAAGCAACTAAAGTAGAGATAACTTCCCAAACTTAAGATAAATGTAAGAAAGATTATTTTCTAAAAGAATTTTCTATGGTTAAGAAACATAATTATAAAAGAATTAGGAGGTTGAAATTATTTTTTCCCTTTACTTATATCATTTTTAGAAAACATCAGTTTATTCACTACTGTAAAAGATGAGGAATTGGCCGGGCACGATGGCTTATGCCTATAATCCTAGGATTTTGGGAGGCCGAAGCAGATAGATCATGAGGTCAGGAGTTCGAGACCAGCCTGGCTAACATGGTGAAACCCCGTCTCTATGAAAAATACAAAAATTAGCCGGGCGTGGTGGCAAGCGCCTGTAATCCCAGCTACTCAAGAGGCTGAGGCAGGAGAATAGCTTGAACCCAGGAGGTGGAGGTTGCAGAGAGGCAAGATCATGCCATTGCACTCCAACCTGGGACAGAACAAGACTCCGTCTCAGGGAAAGGAAAAAAAAAAAAAGATGAGGAATTACATAGTTATGTACTTTACTTTCCCCTTAATTCTAAATTTTTCTTAATTATTATTTTTATATATTAAGGTTTACTTCATTTACAAAATGTACTATGACCATGATTTTCACAGTTGTGTAATCTTGGCTTGTTAAAGGATTTCAGTATTTACCACCAGTTATTTTACCTTTTTTTCATGAATATTTTATTTTGATTGAGCTCTTTGCTGGCTGAATTTCATTATCAAATTTGTGTTCAAGTTGCAGACTCACAGGCTCTATGATTTCTGAGTTCTTACTGCCTAAGAATGCTTGCCTGTTGTCTTTATATTTGAATTATAAACTGACTGGACATAATATTCTTGGGTTATATTATCCTGCCCTCAAAACTTTTAGACATGGCTCAGCTGCTTTCTGGCATTGAATCCTGCTGTGGAAACTTTTGCAGTCAATCTACTTTTTCCCCTTTATACCTCTTAAATGACAGAAGAATTTTTTCCCTGTCTTTGAAGTTTAGAAATTTTATCAGGAAATGGCTTGACGTCTATGGTTTTCTATCCTTTTTCCCCCTGGAAAAATAGTGTGCATTTT